CAAGGCTAACCAGGGCAGTCTCTACGACAGTCAAGCCCACCGCTATCAAGTTCAAGTGATCGGGTGCTATGAGGGTCAGCTTTAGGTGAAAGAACACCTCTAAGAATGGTACCTGGCACCTTTGCTAACAACAACAGGGCCTGATCCCATGTCGGGATGATTGAGCTTTGGGGGCATTGAAGCGATTTTCTTTGTTCATTATGTTCTAAAGGAATCTGTATTCCCTGAACACATATCAGAGAGAAGGAGTTAGTAGGCCTGGTGGTGAGGAAAACACCAGGAACAAAAATTAGCGACTGATAATTCACCAAGTAGGATAATCCCAAAGAGGCTGGTAGAGTTGACTCTTCTTCTCAGACAGTTTTCACATCACTGCCAAAGCGACAGCTGCCACAGAACACCTGACACCAGGTGCGGCAGCTCAAATTAGCCTGACTCTGTCAACTCCATAAGACTTCTACGAAGTTCCCTCCCTTCCTCAGCACTGGCTGTCAACTTGGCTCTCTTAGAAAGGGCACACCTGGTGACAAACGATGTAGATAAAACTGCTAACCTCAGCCCTCAAAGAGCTTATCATCAGTTCAACAACTGACCTCACCTTGTCCTTCCAAATTACCCTTCTGGAATCCAGCCCTGGCCTCCATCACAGGATCTCAGAATTTTCTCTCATCTACAAGTAGCACAACTAGATTTTTCAGTAACGGCCAAAAATGGAAATGCCCTTATCGCACTTCATCAAAAATACAAGTATGCGACCACAAAAGGAGTTGTAAATTAAAAATTCAACAGAAAAAGCTTTTATCTATTCTTTCATTCATTCAATGAATTTTAATTGAATGCTTACTATATACCGGGCACCTTTCTAGGTGCTGGGCACTCCCAGCAGGGAACAAGACAGACATAGTACCTCTCCTCAGGGGCTTAAAAGGGACAGGGTCCCTAAAGGAAAGGGCTCAGTGTTGTAATTTAAAACAATCCCACCCCTGTTAGCTCCACACGCAGAAACATAAAGAGCACGCTCAAGGATGGATCTGAGAGAGAGGGCTGGTACAGTAACTTGAAGCCATTGAGTGACTAGATTCTGACAACAACAGTTTGGGAGGGTAGAAAGGAGGCAACGTCTTCAGACATCCCGACTGAATATTCTTGAAATAGAAAGCTGCTCTTTCTCTAATAAAAATGAAAAATTAAGCAAGTAAAAACAAATAAAAGCAGCAGCTTCCTCTGGGCCCATTTCCCACCCCCAGGAAAAAGTGGCACGGCTGGGCTCTTTGCTACTTCGGACCTCACCAGAGAAAGGCTGAAGTCTTAGTCTGCTTTTCAGACAAATACATAAGTAGCCTTACACCACAAACAGATGAAAAGGTCAAAGCCGAAAACAAAAGCCTGGTGACAGGACACTGGAAACCTTCAGAAAGGGACCTTCAGAATAGGTTCAGTCTAACTCTCCGCAGATCTGAACATCACAGGCGATATGAAGTCCACAATGACTATTTCACAGTGAGGACAGAGCTGATGCCAATTATTTCTTGCCCTCGTCAAGAGAGCTTGTCATCTCCCTACAGAACAATTATCCATAGGTGCACAATAGTTAAAAGCTAAATTCTTTCCCCAATTCAGCATGGAAAAAGTGCTGCTCACAGCAATTTGACATCATTTCATTAGATTAGATTAATTTTTAAATGTGTTATCCTAACAATGATGCCAACCACCATATAATTAATATTCTAACTGACTTTACAAAAATTACAAAATCCCCTAAAGAAAATAATTAGTCATTAAGCATGAACGAGACTTTTCTATGGCCAGTAGCACATAAAACAGAAAGTTCATCACGTAATGGATGGTATCAAAGCCTTTCCCACACTTCCTTCAATTCTTAGCCAACAGTGCGTAAAGCTGACATTGGCAAGTTACGCCAAACTTCACTTGAAATAGTAATGTACTTACTGGTTTAAACTCTTTGAGGGTAAAATGATGAATGATGAAAGCTTTAGCAATTAAAAAGCTCTTTTAATTTGTAGGAGAGGCAAGATAAACACATCTAATTGTTCGCTGCCTCCATCTCCCCAGCTGGAAACTGGAATACAGCTTATTTCTTGGGGCTACTTCTTGAGTTGATTAAAGCACATGAGGCGCCCTTACCCTTGTTTTCCTCTTTTCTTTCAGGGATTTATGTATTCTTATAATCTACCTTAAATCCTGTCTAGAGTCAGGCAAGACATAAACAAGTCGTAGTCGAATAGGGCATTCTCTACCATAACAGAAATAGAAAACCCGTTTTCCCCGCAGCCCTCCTCTGAATAATTGGCCGAGGCCGCCTAGCCCCAGAACAGAGCTGGGAGCCCGTACATGGCCTCAGCAGGAAAAAAGGCAGCAGCTGATTAGTGGTGTCGGCCCCGGACAACAGCAACAGTTTGAGGATGCATGTACCATGTATTTGCCACCTCCATCCTTCAATAAACCATTAAAAATTAGTACAATGCATACAGATTCATGAATAAAACAGAACATATGAATTGTGTTTAGGACGTAGGTTAAGGGGGGAGGGGGATGTTTTCCATAGTCAAATACCTTAAGCCAAACTAGATTAAACCATCAAGCTTTAGAGGAAAGAACACTGAACTAAGTCAGGAAACGCAAATTGCAGCCTAGCTGTGGAGCTGTGAGCAGGCTGGTTCACGGGGCCTTGGTTTGCTCAGCTATAAAATAAGGGGTTGAACTAAAGATCTCGTAATCATTCTCTTCACTTCTATTGATCAATGGTACAAGCAGCCTGAAATCCCCTCTCTGCTGGGGCACTAGGGAGCTGGAGAAAGGGCAGCTCCTTTACAGGAGAGTTACTTTACAGGACACAACTAAAACCCCAGTATCTCTCACACTGCTTATACGGGATTTACGATCTGTGATAAAGTTTGACATCAATTTTTAATCTGTAGCATCTCCAGGACAAGAAGGTCTATATACGGTAATATTTCTCTCCCTTAATACAACCTCTTTTCCACCTTGGGGCAAGGGTGGGGGTCAGGGGCAGGGACTTCTATTTTAATACTCCAACTATTAAGTTCAGCAAGCAATTAAACTACCTTCACTCAAAAGTTAAGTATCATCACTTCAATTTAAAACCAGTCACTTCCACTGGAGTCCGAGTCACTCATGGCTTTGAGACGAGCCTAAACATTCCCACCCCTGAAAAGTCTCCACCACTCTAGCCTATTCCAAGAACAACTTTATCCACATGATACATCAACACAACTTCCATGTCCAAACATCAAAAAGCAAGACTTTCCCCTGGGAGTCCAACCAGAATTGAGTCACACCGTGCACCTACTGATCAGGTCCCACCCAATCACCAGGGAAACTCACATTAAAATGATCAAGAGTGCCCCTGAGGAAACAAGGAAGCTCAAACAGGACAGCCTGAGAGGGCAGTGTTGTCTGTGCAGGGCTGGGACAGTCTCAGATGTGGCTGTGGCAACTGCAACAGACATCTATGATCTTTCTGTCTGCCCTGCAGCCTCTCCTTTTGGGAACTGTCTCTCTCAAATTCCAAGGAGCCCCACTTCCTGTGCTTTAGGTGATCTCTGCTGGCCAAAGACTCCCACCCCTGGGACTCAATGAATTGTGTTGGGGGTCACCCACCAAGCAGGCCAGAATCCTTTTTCAGGGTCTGATGTGGACACCAGGAGATCACCTGGTATAAAGACCACAAAACCTACAACTGTCAGGCTGTCTTTTCCACCACGTGGGGAGCATCAGGCCAACACTGGAGAGCAGGCCTAGAGAGGGCAAGAGAGTGAGAGATCCCTGCACTACCTGGGCACTCTGATCCTAAGACTGAACAGCGTTTCTGTCAACAGCAGCCCAGAGTTTGGGGGACAAGCCTTACAAGCCAAACATATGCATCCAAGGTTCAAGTTCTTTCTTTAGTACTCCATGACGAATCACTGTCCCCTGAACCTCAGACTCAGCTTCCAGGGTCCACTTCAAACCAAAGAACGCCAAATACTGCCCTAGAGAAATTCAAAGAAAAACTTCCACACACCAGAAAAGCTGTCAGGGCTCATCTGTCATCCCAGACCCGAAGAGGGAAAGGACCACGAAAAAGAGGAAAAAGACAATGGATAACTGGAGGGGGCTGAACAGTCCACAACCAATAACCGTAAGAACAACTGCCTCCAGGAAGGGAGCGCAGTCTAATGAGAAAAGCTCCCCAAGTCATTCCAGACATATATTCCAGCTGTCTATCCGCAGGGGAGAAAAGATACACAACAACCCACAGCACCCAAACAAAAGGAACCTGTCAGTACACAAACTATTTCCAGGCTTATGAGCCTAATTGTTCCTGTTATTTTTAGACTACAGTTTAGTGTTCCTTTCACAGCCGTCCTAGGGTCTATGCCACGGGCCTGCATGCTGAACGAAACCATAAATGGCAAATTCTACAGAGCATGTTTAGAACAATGTCCCTCAGACGGGATCTAAAGTAATGAGAGAGTAATTAGAACGCGATCTAAGAAACAGGACTCTAGAGATGTTCTTCCCAATGACGATGGGGAAAAACAGCAGAAGCAACAGAACCGTGTGGGTGGCTGACCCACATATTTGGACCGCCAGTCCTTAACCTCCTGGGGGCCGTGGAACTCCTCTGAGAATCTGATGTAAGCTAAGAAGTCTTCCCCCAAAAAGAACGCACATAACACAACATTTTGCATATAATTTCAAAAGGTTCACAAAAGCTGCTTCCTACAGCCGGACTCCAGTTTAAATACACCTGACTTAGCATTTTTTTAATTTAATTATCTCAGCATCACGATCAAGCCTCAAAGACTTCAAAAGACTACAAATAGCTCACAGAGAAATCCTAAAGTTTCCAACTCTGTAATCCCATGCTGAATCAAGAACAAAAAAACAAATACAAACCTCACCTTCTACACTTATAAATATAAGAAAACTTTGCCTTTCCTGTATTGGCACCACTTCTGACACGTCTCCCTTACCTTGTTTGACCATTTGTATGCTTGAAGGAGTTGACTATAGAGAGGAGTTTTGTCCTGCACAGGATCCAGGCTTAACAGTCCACTGTTATGGAGAGGGTGGTTCTCAGACGGCTTGCCCACCAAATTGCTCAGACGTTCCAGTTCACTGAAAAGTACATAGATAAAGCAAATAAACCTGAGTCCACTGAAACTCCACTGTTTAGCCAACCACATTGGTCAAAGGCTGCTCTTCAAGCTGTCCATTAGAAGTCTCTTAAGAAGAAATACTTTTTGAAAGGTGACAATCAAGAAAACCCCTAACAGAACTTAATTTTAAAACCAAGCTCTCTGGTGCCATTCCAAAGGAGAAAAAAGTTAAGAGCACTGTAATCAACAAGACTTCTAAAACTGGGATTGACAACTTGAATTATTCTTGGGGGGGCGGGGGGCAATGCCACACCATACAGCCTTCTGGAATTTTGAAATGTGGTATAACACTGCTTCTTCCTAAGAGTTTTCAGAGCCACGTACGGATCATTACATTTAGCAGAACAGCAAGTACCTGCATAAATAATGATTATTTATCATTCACATAGGGATAGATTTGTACATGGTGCTTCACAGATGGTAAAACGTAACAAAACAAAGAAGAGATAAAAAAAACAAACGGAATGGGAAGACACCAGCAAGGGGGCTGTGTCAAAGAAACACACTTCAGTCTAGCAGGAAAACTCTAGGAAAGCTTGGCAAAGTGAGCCAACAGCAAAAGCACATTCCAGGAGCACGTTCGGAGGGGCCAGTCCCAAACAGTCAACAAGACTCTCTAGGAACAGCTTCCCGCACCACTTTCATTGGGAATCTTCAGCCACCTTCCTCTTGGCACTGTTGTATAATGATTTAAGACGGCAAAGGGGTAAACTTTCTAAAATGGTGAAGGGTTCTAACATCCTGCATATTACAAAGGGAAGCAAATGAGAGAGGAAATGGAAAAGAAAGAACCACCCCTCCAGCAGGGAAAGTATTAACTGGCACTGCGCCAGAGAACAGCAAGTGGACGTGGGAGTTGAGGAGGGGTGTGGGACTTCCTGGCTTCCCCCCAAAAACCAATGGCAACTACTCAGGGGAGAAAAGAGGCACCCATCATTTGGTCACCACCTCCTCCTGCATTCTACCTCCTCCTTCCATCTGGTTACTAAGGAGACCAAATTAAGAAAAAAAAAAAATCCAACCACTCCAGAATTCATCGGCTGACTAGCTCAACAAATGCCTTTCCTGCTAAGGTCAGTTCTGAGAAATAAAAGGCAAAACTCCTGAAATTCTAACCTCCCTGGGAAGGACCGCCTCTCTTAAAGAAGGGAAGGCAAGTTCAGGATGTAACCAGTTAAAGACTGCCTACTATGTGCCGGGCATTTTACAAACCTCCTCTCAATTAATTCTTACAATAACACTTACAATGTAGAAGTAAAGAAGGTGAAGAAAGAGAAAGAAAGTTGCAATCCCTAACCCTAAAGGACCACACTTAATCACTGTTGGGGGGAGGGGGGTTAAGCATAAGCGATTAAGCTGGTAAAGCTTGAGATCAGGTCTCTCTAAGAGGAAGGGACAGAACAGGAGCAGTGAGAGGACTGATCAGACGGACAAGAAGAAAAGACAGATCAAGGCCTGTTTTGTCGTGTTTGGGGGTGAGACAAGGTGGAACTGATGCATTCCAGGTTCAGGGCCAAGGCATCGGGGTGAATCAGATCGGGTGCTCTTGGGTTCGGGCAGCGCTGATCGGGTCCCGTCTGGCATTATCAGGACTGTTTGATCAGGCGTGGTGGGGCACAGAGGGCCTACAGGTGAGAAACCTGCCAGGCTGAGAGGAGAAGTGGAAGTTCACGGGAAGAGCGCGTCTCCTGGTGAGGAATGGAACGACCACAGAAGGGGTCCCGAGCGGCGGGAGAAAGCCAGGACCGGGAGGCCAAGAGAAGAGAGACGAGAGGGCGGAGGTGGGGGATGAGATGTCCCTGAGGGGCCGGCAGAGGCTTGGAGAGGAGGGAGACAGAGCAAGGGAGCAAGGGAAAGGCAGGGCGGCCCCTGAATGGGAAGACTCGTGTGGGGTCGGGACAGGGTGGGAGTCTGGCGGGTCGCCGACTCCGGTCCCTTGGGCCGGTACCTACTTGAGGTCCCGGTTGACAGACTGCAAGTTGTCCTGGAAGTGCGCAATGAAGGCCTTCTCCCTGCCCTCCAGCGTCTCCTTGTTCCGCATGCCATCCTTCAGGCAGTCGAACACCCTGCTCACGCTGGAGCGCAGCGCCTGGATAGCACTGATGGCCTGGGCAAAGGCCTCCAGGTTCACTCCGACACTGAGCACGTCCGCCATGTTGCCGCCGCCACAGCGGGCTCTCCAAAGCCGGCTTCGCGAGCAAAAATCCGCGCTCACTGATGACGCAGACCCTCGAGGGCCTCTGGGAAATGTAGTTCTCTAGGGGCGGGACAGCAGTGGCGGTCGGTGCGGGTGCGGGCGCTGTCCGAAAGAGGCTTTCCATTTTAAACGAATGTGTGGGCAGGAAGGTGAGCCTCTCCATTTGAGACTTCACTCCCAGCTTTCTTAGTGGTGACAAGGAAATACAAAAAGTTCCTGCTTTTCCCCAAACTTGCGCTCTTGGGAGTCCTAGGGAAAAGAATTGCTCAGAGCAAATAGTGTCCATGGAGTAAAGAATCATAACCTGTTGAAAAAACTGATTCCGTATTCATAAATAAGGGGGGAGAGGGAAATTTCTTCTCTACAGTGGAAAGCCAGCTAATAAATGTAGGAGCAATGATGGAAAGAAAATTGCCATCTGGCAACCATTGGAAGAATAATTGATTCAGATAGGAATCAAGGGATCCTAACACTGTGAGTGGAAGTGTGAGGAGTAAACAGGATATTTGCATAGTCTCAAAGTATCATCCCACAAGAAACTTATTAATTAAGGGAAAGGTAATGATCCAGCAATTTCACTTCTAGTTTTATACTCAAAAGAAAGGAGAGCGGGGACTGGAACAGATAGTATGTGCACACCCATGTTCATAGCAACATTAATCACAATAGCCAAAAGGCAGAAGCAACCCAAGTGTCCATCATGAGACGAATTCATAAACATGTGGTATATACATACAATGGAATGTTTATTCAGTCTTAAAAAGGAAGGAAATGCTGACACATGCTACAACATGGGTAAACCTTGAAGACATTATAGTAAGTGAAATAAGCCAGTTACAAAAGAACAAATATGGGATCAGGGTGGTGGCATAGCGGTAAAGTCCAGGGCGCTCCTCTTCAGGGGGGGCCTGGGTTCTCAGGTTTGGATCCTGAGCCTGGACCTACACACTGCTCATCAAGTCATACTGTGGCAGGCATCCCACTGTAGAGTAGAGGAAGATGGGCATGGATGTTAGCTCAGAGCCAGTCTTTCTCAGCAAAAAGAGGAGGATTGGCAGTGGATGTTAGCTCAGGGCTAATCTTCCTAAAGAAAAAAAGCAAAAGGACAAATATTGTATGATTACACTTATATGAGGTCCCTAGAGTAGTCAAATTCATAGAGACAGAAAATAGAATGGTTGTTGCCACGGGTGGGGGAAGAGGAGAATGAGGAGTTAGTATTTAATGGGTGCAGGGTTTCAGTTGCAGAAGATGAAAAAGTTCTGTGGATGGTGGTGATGGTTGCACAGCAGTGTGAATGCACTTGGTGCTACAGAACTGGACGCTTAAAAATGGTTAAACTGGTAAATTTTATGTTTTGAATATTTTATCATAATTTTTAAAATTCAGTAACGTAAAAGGGGATGGGAGGAAACAGTGACTTCATAGTGGAGAAACCTGGCAGACACCACCCTAACCAAGAGATCAAGGTCAACATCACCAGTGTAGGACAAAGCCACCTCCTGATCTGATGCGATGAGAAGAGTGCAACAGGACTTCTGTGATATTCCTGCCCAGAATGCAAAACGGGAATCTGATCAGGGCATCAGACAAACTCAAACTGAAAGACATTCAACAAAATAACCGACCTGTACTTTCCCACGAAACATTTGTGTCATGCAAGACAAAGAAGGACTGAGGGATGGTTCCAAATTAAAAGAGACTAAAGAGCCATGACCACTGAATGCGACGCATCATCTGGAAATTTCTTTTGCTGATGTGATTGGGACAGTTGGTGAAATCTGCACAAGGTCTGTAGATGAGTTCATAGTATTTCATCAGCAATGACGTCATGATTTTGATAATTGCTTTGTGGTTGTGGAAGAGGATATCCTAGTTTTGGAGAAATATACCCTGAAAGGATAAAAGAGCATCACTGTGTCTGCATTAAAAGGAAAATAGCATGGATATGTCTATTTAGAGAGAGGAGGATAAAGCAAATGTGGTAGAAAATTAACAGTTATGGACTCTGGATGAAGGATATACAGAAATTATTTGTACTGTTCTTGCAAGTGTAAGTCTGAAATTATGTCAAAATAAGTTGTTTCCAATGGCCATTGATAAGGCGCGTGGAAAGTGTAAACACAGTCTAGGTGGCAAGAAAAATCTTCAGTTCTACCAGGCCATGCTGACCAGGATTTTGAAATTGTGTAGTTCACTTCAAACCAACTTAATAATTTCCCCACTCGTCTCCAACCTCACTCTCCCCCGCCACACACACACACACACACGCACACGCACACCCGCGCACACGCACACACACACACGCACACACCACCTCAATGCAAATCCTCTAGTTCTAGAGCAATGACGATAAATTCTGCTCAAAAACTGACGTTGCTCTCCATGAGTGCTTAAATTTAAACATTATTTAACTTAAGTCTCGTGAGAAAGAAAAGTGTTTTGTTGTCTTGGGTTTATATAGTTGCTTTTATTTCCTGACATCTCCCTCATTTTGTAAGTGTTGCCATTTATAGCTTTTCTTATGGGAAAGGGGTAGATATAGCGGGAAACTTCTAGCTGTGGAACTTGAAGCAAGTTATTGGTCCTCTCTGAGCCTCGGTTCCTCATCTATAAGATAGAACTAGTCATGATACCTATCTTTATAAAATAGCTGTGGGGTTTAATAACACCTTGCAGGCAAAGCTTTTGAAATATTGTTTGGAGTATAATAAACACTCAGAAGATCGTAACTGTCAGGAAAATGTGCTGAGAAAGTTTCTGATCGATCTATGACCTGGGCTTCTAACCCCACTTGAGGACTCCGCACAGAATCAAGCAAGGACTAGCAATGGATCTGTTAGTTCAAATTATCTCTGCGACATGACCCTGTTGCTAAGAGCTTGCCAATTAACTGTGTTCTATAATTCATCGTTTTTTGGTGGCCTTTTTATCTCCTTTGGAGCATAGGGTGTTTGTTTTTGTTTTTGAAGATTTTTGTAGAAAACCCTTTTTTAACTTTGCAAAAGTAAAGGAAAATATCTGTGTCTGTTGGCTTGTTTTGGTTTTGGCTTCGGTTTGTTCATCCTTTCTAGGAGATTAGAGAAGGCCAATTTGGCTCTTGTGTTTACTCATCTTTTTGGGGATCCCTGAAAGCTTGGAGAATGTGACCCCTGCTGTATACTTTGTCCCCTCCCAAAATATATAAAGTCTATTTCTGCCCACACTATATGTACCTATGAAGATGAGGTTTTGCATACACTGCAACAATTTAAGGGGGTTCATAGCCCCCCCTAAAGCCCAGACGTGGACCCTGGTTAGAAGCATGCTCTAAGGCAAGCATGATGGGACTATGGCCCACAGCTATCTTGTAACCATCAGGTCTCCAATGCCTGGGGCACAATAGATGCTCAGTGTAAGTTTGTGGAAGCAATGAGTTAACGTGATATATTATATTTGCCTTCTCGGATCCTCTCTCCAAATTATTTCATCTCTTGGTATACTCAGATATCAGCTCTCCCTCTGCTCAGCCCTCCTCCTGCCCCCCCCCCCCAATTCCCACACACACAGAGTAAGATTTTCTTTTGTCTCATTCTCTGATTCAGTGGTTTAGACTCTGATTGGTACAATAAAGTACAAATACACTCTGCTCCCACAGTCATTAGTTTTCAGGATTTCTCTCTGGCTCCCCTCTTCTGGGAAACTCAGAAATTGATCAGTGGAAATACACATTTCCCCTGAACCTAGTAAGGAGTCTTTCATCATGTCAACAGAAAACTTTTCATTTTGGAAAGGAATGGACAGAGTTTCTCTAAGGTGTTGTAAATCCTTGAGAATGTTGGCACATATATGCTTGCATCTGTGTGTGTTTGTGGGGTATAAATTACATTAAAAGGAGTTCATTTCGAACAATATCAGATTTTAATTATTATGATCTTATGTTTGGGTAAAAGGCAGCATCCTGCTGCTAATATCTTCCCAAATGAACGAGCCATTAGCTTGGTGCTATCAGCTCAAGAGCATTAGAATGAGCAATCAGAATTAAAGTTGTCAGTATTTAATTAGAATGTGCTGCAACTCCCATCATATGTAGAGAGCATGTGGTTTAAGAATTCAGACTGAGAAAACACCCTCATCAATTAATAATTATTAAGGATTCACTAGATGCAAAACACTGCAATGTCACCAGATATTCTAAAACCAAATCTGCCTTGGATAAGCCACCACGTAACTAAGCCACCTGTCATAATCAGCGTGGCATAATGCTCCAGACCTTGGGGGTTGCTCTGAGGATTAAATTGAGGCATCATACTGTTCTGGGGACATAGTAGGCATTTGAGTTAGCCACTCAACAAATAAGGATATTGAATGTGCTCGACATTTTGCTAAGCAGCTGGGGAGCCTGGCAAAACCAGGCCCAGTCTAGCCCAATAAATGTCACTGAAAATATCTGCAGTGGGAGGTGTGCGGCTCCACATTCACCTGTTTAAGTCTCAGGGCATTGATCATTTTTAAATTGCTTAGATCCACTTTATTATAATTAATCTAAAGCAAGGATGGTAAAGAATCCCGTTTTGTTCTCTTCTGAACCTACCTCCGCTCCTGTTTCCTGTTATTTCCTGCCCATGATGATTTTGACATGATGATGATGACGACGACAACTATGATGACGATGATGGTGATGATCAAAGTGGTCCCAAGGACGAAGGAGATCCTGGAGATCAGGAAAGCAGCCTAGATGGGGGTCTCTACCCCTGACTGGTGTCTCTCAGGCAAACGCAGTAACCCTTCTGGACCTCAATTCTTGCATCTAGAGAATGAGGAAGTGGATCCCCTCCAGCACTACCAATCCAGGAGTGTAGGATTAGGAGGAACTTGTTAATTCAAGGAGGAGGAAAGGGAGAGACTCATTCACTATTAACACTGATCACAACCACTGCCCCAGGATTCCCGCACTCCACTTCATTCATTTCCCGGTAACACTCACCAAATAAAAGGATTAAATAAGGATCCAAAGAG